CACTGAAGCGTGAAGTCAAATTGAATCTTTTCCTGCAGAGAAGCTATTCCTAGGGTCTCTCATCCTTGTGCATTCTCTGATGTTTGGTCAGCTCTGAGGTCTTACTGAAGCTTTTCCCACAGTCAAGGCATTTATAAGGTCTCTCTCCTGTGTGGATTCTCCCGTGTTTAGTAAGGTGTGGGCGCTGACTGAAAGTTTTCCCACAATCCAAGCATTTATAGGGTCTTTCTCCTGTGTGAGTTCTCTTATGTGCAAAAAGATTTGAGCTCTGACTAAAACTTTTGCCACATTCAAGGCATTTATAGGGTCTCTCTCCTGTGTGGATTCTCCCGTGTTTAGTAAGGTGTGGGCGCTGACTGAAAGTTTTCCCACAGTCCAAGCATTTATAGGGTCTTTCTCCTGTGTGAGTTCTCTTATGTGCAAAAAGATTTGAGCTCTGACTAAAACTTTTGCCACATTCAAGGCATTTATAGGGTCTCTCTCCTGTGTGGGTTCTCTGATGTGTAATAAGCGCTGTGCTCCGAATAAAACTTTTCCCACATTTACAGCATTGAAAGGGTCTCTCTCCTGTGTGCAGTCTCTGGTGTAGAATAAGTTGTGACTTCTCAATGAAGCTTTTCCCACACTCCAAGCACTTATACGGTCTCTCTCCTGTGTGCACTCTCTGGTGTAGAATAAGTTTTGACTTCTGAAGGAAGCTTTTCCCACAGTCTAAGCATTTATGGGGTCTCTCTCCTGTGTGGATTCTCTGATGAACAGTAAGTTTTGTTCTGTCAACAAAATGTTTCCCACACTCAAGGCATTCATAATGCATCTCTCCGATGTGGATTCTCCCATGTTTAGTAAGGTTTGAGCGGTATCTGAAAGTTTTCCCACACTCGTGGCATTTATAGGGTCTTTCTCCCGTGTGGAATCTCCTATGGTTAGTAAGGGCTGAACTTGCGATAAAACTTTTCCCACACTCAAGGCATCCATAGGGTCTCTCTCCTGTGTGGGTTCGCTGATGTGTAATAAGCGTTGCACTCTGACTAAAACTTTTCCCACACTCACGGCATTTAAAGGGTTTCTCTCCCGTGTGCACTCTCTGGTGTACAATAAGCCTGGACATGTGTATGAAGCTTTTCCCACAGTCCAAGCATTTATGGAGCCTCTCTCCTGTATGGATTCTCTGATGACTCGTAAGTTTTATTCTGTCAGTGAAACTTTTCCCGCAGTCGAGGCATTTATAGGATTTGTCGCTTGTGTGGATCCTCTGATGTTTAATAAGGTCTGAGCGCTTAATGAAAGTTTTCCCACAGTCAAGGCATTTATATGGTCTCTCTCCTGTATGTTCTCTCTGGTGTTCACTAAGCTTTGACTTCTGAATGAAGCTTTTCCCACAGTCGAAGCATTTATGGGGTCTCTCTCCTGTGTGGGTTTTCTGATGTGTATTAAGGGTTGATTGCACACTGAAACTTTTCCCACACTCGTGGCATTTATAGGGTCTTTCTCCTGTGTGGATTCTCCTATGTCTCGTAAGCGCTGAGTTCTCAATAAAACCTTTCCCACACTCAAGGCATCCATAGGGTCTCTCTCCTGTGTGGGATCGCTGATGTGCAATAAGTGCTGAGTTATGATTAAAACTTTTCCCACACTCACGGCATATAAAGGGTCTCTCTCCTGTGTGGGTGATCTGATGTTTAATAAGCTCTGCGCTCCGAATAAAACTTTTCCCACACTCACAGCATATAAAGGGTCTCTCTCCCGTGTGCACTCTCTGGTGTACAGTAAGCCTTGACTTCTGTATGAAGCTTTTCCCACAGTCAAAGCATTTATGGGGTCTCTCTCCTGTGTGGATTCTCTGATGACTAGTAAGTTTTATTCTGTCAATGAAGCTTTTCCCACACTCAAGGCATTTAAAGAGTCTCTCTCCTGTGTGTACTCTCTGGTGTACAATAAGACATAGATTCCTACTGAAGCTTTTCCCACAGTCCAAGCATTTATAGGACTTCTCTCCTGTGTGGGTTCTGTGATGTGACATAAGCTGTGACCACTGCTTAAAACTTTTTCCACAGTCCAAGCATTTACAGGGCTTCTTTCCTGTGTGGATTCTGTTATGTGACACAAGCTGTGACCTCACATTAAATCTTTTCCCACACTCAAGGCATTTATAGGACTTCTCTCCTGTGTGGGTTCTCCAATGTGTAAGAAGGTTTGCACTGACACTGAATCTTTTCCCACAGTCAAGGCATTTGTAGGGTTTCTCTTCATTGTGACTTGTCTGCTGGACTGTGGTTTCCTTGGGATCCTTACATCCTCTGCCACATTCAGTGGATTTATCCAGTTTCTTCCCAGGATAGTTTCCCAGCTGCATCTCTGATCTGTGTCGATCTCCCCAGGCATTTCCCTGTTCCAAGCACTGGGAAAAATTCCCTTCAGCTTTTCTGAAAAACCTCTCCTGCGATTCCACTTCCTCAGGACCTTCCTGCTGCTGATTCTCCTCCTTGGTCTCACTCACTGTCCTATCACCTGCTGGGAGAGAGAGAATCCAGACAGGTGTCACTGGCCGTGCCGGGGAGAAAGGACAGAAAGGGGAACAGCAAAAAGGGAAAACACAACACAGTGACTGTTGGGTAGATTGAGACGTTGGATTCTGCCTCTACATCCCAACCAAACGCTCCCAGGGAAGTAAAGTCTGGAAGGAAATTCCCGACAGCTAACAGGGTGGGTGGGAAGCCGTGACTGATATTTGCCTTGATACAGCACCTGCTGACTGCAGCCCTGACCTGGGTGAGATGGGGCAGAACTGAGGGCTCTCGCTCACAGCACATTTCGGAGTCCCAGCTTTTTCCTTCACTCGCCAGATGTTTCTGTCTTAGTTTCACTGACTCCTCACCTGTGCAGGTGTCTCTCGGGCTCACAATTTCCTCTGAGGCCTGGAGATCCGGGACCCACGGCTCTTCCCCTCGCTCCAGCCGGGCGATCAGGTCGGGCTTGGGAACGGGAAATCCTGCTCAGGGAGTGAAATCAGGCAAGCTCAGGGCGCATGGAGCATTGGTAAGAGTATTTGTCACGAGGAACATTCCCTGAGATTAACCTGACCCTACACGGGACTGTGGTAACTCAGACCCCATGGGAGCAGCAGGGATCTGGGGGTGGGGGTTCTTTTTACCCCCTCACTAGGAGGTCTCAGGGAAGATGCGCTCTGGGGGACTTGCTGACACACACACAGCTCGGGTGTTAAACTCCTGCCTATTTCCAAGCCTGCAGAACCTAGAGCCCTCCCCACGGATGGAGCGAGGTGAACGGTGAGTGAAGGAGAAATAATACAGACAGGGCAATACCCTGCTTCTGACCCCTGGACAGCTGGAGAGATGGGGATGAATTAGCCTGTCCATTAGGTTTCTGACTCTCCTGTTCCATCGAATGGGGTATGGAGATGCAAGTCTCTCACACACTGGCATAGACGCCGACTTCCCCTCTTTTCTGTGGGTGCTCGACCCTGCCTCTGCCTCTGGCCCCGCACCCCACTCCACCTCTTCCATGAGGCCCCGCCACTTCCCAGCCCCCATTTCAACCCCATCCCCAAAGTCCCTGCCCCAACTCTGCCCCCTCCCTGCCCCTATTCTAAATCCTTCCCCAAATCCCTGCCCCGGTCCCGCCTCTTCCCCACCTCCTGCCCTGAGCGCGCCATGTTCCCGCTTCTCCCTGCCCTCCCAGAGCATGCAAACAGCTGTTTGGCGGTGGCTGGG